TCTGCCACGGTGCCTGGAACCTTGCGTATTTCACACAGGGCTCGTGGATAAGGCTTCAACTGTAGCTTCTGTGAGTCTTGGCAGAATGCCCTATGATTTTCCCAGAACACGAGAGTATAGAGGATTATGAGTAGCTGCTACAAGACTATTTCCCATCTGTCTCCCTGTCTCCCCAAGATACTGATATGGGACAGTTTCTTATTGCCTCTCATGTTCTGATGAGGTTTAAGGATTTCTGCCTCGCTTCACTCAGAATATATCTGCAGACTGTAAAACCACTCAGCATAAGCATAGAATTGGCTTTTCAGGAACAGGATGCCCCATCATCCCTGTTGCACTCATCTGGTCCCTTTTGTTTCAGCGATACCCTGTGGGACAGAGGACACACGGAGCTGAAACCTTTGGCTGCTCTGGCTTTCACTGTCTATGTAAGTCATAAACTGTCTGACTCTGTCAGCCTTGCCCAGACATTTCCTGAATCACATGGGATGTCCCTCATCTACTATTCAGGGACTGAAATCCCTTGGGTCCTGGCAGTGGCTGACGCCTCACTCACCAACGACCTCACTAGGAAGGGCTCTTAACTGGAGAACAGACAGGACCTAGGGGTGCTGTGAATGTGGATGGGAACCAATCATATCTTGATTTTTCCTGACTTCTACCTGAAATTTAGCATTTCTTTTAATGCTAACTGTAGACAGCAAACCACAGTTGTATTAGCAGTACCAGTGACTTTGTCATCAGTAGAAATCACAGACATTTCATATTACATTACAGATGCAGAAATCTTGAACTAGTGTGTTCATCATTACTTTGAAATTATGGTAAAAATTGAGCCCACCCCTTATTAATTTATAATTGATAAGATTAATTAATGAATTAGTAAAGTGGTACACGTATTATTATGCCATATTGTTTTAAAAATATTTTGAGAATTGTATTTCAATCTTAGTGGTTTTCTTTGTAATCTTATGTATTTAATTTTATCTAAATACTCTCCCCTATTGTCTGGTCATGTGGCTACTTGGCAACATATTTGTTACTGCTGCCTTACTTTCTGGGGGCAAATATCTTCTTTGGCTCTCAGCTTCCTTGTCCTTAAAATGAAGGGATCAGCTTGTCAGATCATTTCTAAGGGTTCTGCCAGCCATGTAAGTGACATGAGCATGTGCATTTCATCATTTCAATGTATCACAGCTGAGGAATTACATGAGGACAATCAGAATCAGGGGTTTGTACTGACATTTCTAAATGGGTTTTTTTTTCCACCTTCATTATAGTATAAAGAACTTTTAGGAATTTGTCTAGAAAATATGCAAAAGTTTATCTACAAATATGTCCTAAACATTAAATGATAGATTAAATAGATTAAAATAAGTCCCTATGATGGAACAGTGACAGCCATTAGAATGATGGTGAAGGAATAATAACATGGAAGAGTAGTCACGCTATACAATTAAATGTAAAAGCCATTTGTGATAACTGAAGACCAAAATGATTCAATTTTTATGAAATCATATAAATGTATATACATAGAAAAAAGATAAAATAATAGAACCCAACCTGATAATATTGGTTATCCTTAAGCGGTGGGATTATGCTGATTTTTATTCCTTTGTTTTTTTCCCTATATTTTCTAAAATTTCTCTCTCTCAACATATACATACATATAGTATATACGTAATATATATAACTGTAGTATGAAAATAATAATGTTGTCAATATGATATCACGGGAGAATATTACACAGAGCAACAGTGAAAAATCCATTGGCTTTGGGAGCTGCCCCTTCTATCTCCCACCTTTCTATGTGACAGGTACCAGAGCAAGGGAGCAATGAGCTGCTGACCCTTCGCATTCCTTGTCAGTCAGATAAGTGCTTGCTTCGTGAGCCAGGAGCTGAGAGTTGAAGCTCCCACTCTTCTTCCTCTGGCAGCTCCATGGAGCATGTGTGCCTGGCCCCCCGTAGCTGCCCTGACGTTCCCCAGGCCACAGGAGGAGGACGAAATCTAGGGTAGCAAGGGGCACGGCCGGCCACCCATACCTGCAGGCTGGTGGCCTCCTCTGCCCACCAGGCTTCAAACTCTTTCTGCAGCTTCACCTTGGCTTTGTCCATGAGCAGCTGCAAGTGCTCAATCTCCACCTTCAGGGCCTTCAGGTGTGTGAACATTGTTTTATACCTACAGTAGAATCAGGGAAGAATCTGAAAGTCACTGGTGGGGAGGGACTGTCGATGGCAGGGACTGTGCCTCAGAGGCCTGACAGTGCTGCATTAGTAACAGGGACTGGGTGCTATGGTTGCCCACTGAGGCCAGAGTATGGAGCCAGGGTTTCAGTCCATCACAGAGAAGCAGAGTCAGGCGTTTTCATCCAGTAGGCTCATGTGTGAGACGGACAACCGCTCTCCAAGGATGATAACTACCATCATTGAGCCCATCCTAAGGGGTAGGCATTGTTCTAGGCTCTGCACATATATACAGTCCTTTCATCCTCTTCACAACCCTATGAAGAAGAAACTCTCATTATCCTCTCCACTTTACAGATTTGGAACCTCAGGCACGGCGAGGTTAAGTAACTTGCTCTATGGCACAGAGCTAATAAACAGAGGAGCCAGGATGGGAACCAGGCTATCTGATTCTAGGACTACAGTCCTAACTACCTGAGCATCTGGTGGTTCATCTTTGTTCTGAGGACCAAAGGTTACAATACAGTGGTTAGTGCATAGCCAAACTGCAAAGGCAACTCGACTTCTGAGATGACCCTGAAGTTGGAAATATGGACCAAGGGGACAAGATGGGGTGGAGTAAAGACACAGAAGAGTGAAGTGGAAAGGAACTGAGAAAAGTAGATAGAGTGAAGGAGAAAGAGGACAACTGGGGTGTCAGCCCAGCGGGTGGAGAGCAACGGTGCCTGTGCAGGAGGGCAGCACAAGGCCTTCTGGAAGGAGGATTCTGGCAGGAAAAAACACAGCACACAGTTATCAGGAGTGAACTGGAGACCAGCTGCATGGGGCTTTGTTCTCTCCAAGTCTCAGATGGCAGAGCATGTGCGTATATGTCTGTCTGTGTGTGTGTGTGTGTGTGTGTGTGTGTGTGTGTGTGTGTGTGTGTGTGTTGGGGGGCAGGGTGATGGAATTTGCTTAGGGTGCATGCCTAGCCAGCCCAGAGGTGGCATGTGTCGTAATGACATCATCAGCACTTTGAGGGCAAGAAGGTTACTTCTTTGGTCTCCCCAAAATTTCTCCATGGCATAGAGCAGAGAGCAACTGTTTGTTGAATGCATACATGAACGAATTAACTAAGAAGCTTGACTGGAGTGCCAAACGAGATTCTGTGACCATGCTGTATATCAGTAATGGCCACATGTCTGTCTATGCTTGAGGTTCTTTACTCTGTAACTGACATCTTTTGGGGACCCTAAATGGCCACATGAGGGTGTGATGGTCTCAGGACGCCTTAACAGATAAAGAGAGGAGGGAAGCTGGTAAAGCCGCCGGCTGGAGGAAGGCCTCCGTGGTCATGTTTCTTAACTCCCCTAGATGGCAGCAGTAGACAAATAAGACTAGTTGCTTCCTGAGCTGCAGCCTGGGATCTCAGGCTGGGGAGGGTGCCAAGAGGAAACAGCACCTGCTGATTCGTGAGTCTGAGCTCCCGGCCTGGCTTGGCCTTCTGCTCCCTATTCCAACCTCACACTGCCCAGGGTTCCTGCATCACATCTGCTTGCTCTAAGGCAGCACCTCCTCCAGCTGTTTTAGGACTCAGCTGCTGGACCCACTTCCCAGAGAAGTGCCAAGCCTGAGTGGAGGCATGGCCCTGGGCCGCTCCAAGCCATCCTTGAGAGCCCTCTGAGGTTGGGCAAGTGAAAAGAAAGGATACCTTTTCTTTTCTTCCTCCAGTTGTGATCGCAGCTTCTCTTCCTGCAGGTCTGGCACCGAGGGCACGGCCATGTTTTCTGAGATACCTGGAGGAGGGAGATACTGGTGGTTTATTCCAATGAAGAAGAAAGGCAAAAGGAGAAGTGTGATATTTAGGGCAGATGACACAGTCAAAGCGCATCCCAAGAAGAAAGAGGACTCTGTGGGATTCTCTGGGGCCTTTGGATAGAAACCTGCTTCAGCCTCTGCCTCTGGATGGCAACCTTTGCTTGGATGAAAGCCCCTGAGGAAGCTTCAGTGATTCTGCTCCATCAGCTGTCCCTCCCCCTGCCCAACACCTGTCGCTGAAAGAGAATTCTTCCTTACATCACTGCTAATGCTTTTACTATTGAATTCACTCATTTCCTTTGGAGTCCCCAAGGAAGATGAAATATAGCATTTCCCCATCCTCTGATACAAACTAAGAAGACATCATTACACCATTTCACATCTTTCTTTGCCCAGCTGAGGTGCAGAATTCTCTAGCCTCAAATCATGTTTACTATTTTTGACTTCCCTCTAAAGCAGTGGTTCCCAGGCCTGATTAACTCAAGCAGTGCTAATATGCAACCAGAGCTGAGACCCACACTCGGATGCCCTGCCTATAAAGATGGGGAGACAGGACCGTGGAAAGGCTTTGGCGACAGCTGTGTTCCCATGCATGCCGACCGCTGCCGTTGGTCGCCTGGCTGCCTGCTCTGGTTGGTGTGTTCACCTGGAGCCCATCCTTCCCTAGCCCTGTGGGTGGCGTCTGTTCATCCTCCCGAGTCCCTTTGTGACTGCACTGTGTTTTTTAGCCTCATAGAAGGCAACTTAAAAGTCACACAGCCCTGCTTTTTCTCCATGTAGGGGAGAATCTACTATGGGCAGGTACTTTCTTGACGTGATCAGACTTAATCCTTCTAGTACTCATCTGGGGTGTTATTGTTCCCGCTTTATAGATAAGGGCATTGAGGGTCAAAGGGGTTAACCTGCCCAAGACCACATGGCTAACTTCAAAAATCTCGATCCAAATCTGGGTTTGTTTGGTTGCAAGGGCCTTGGGTTCAGAAATACTTTCAATAATATTTCTGACAGATGGTCATCTGCTTTCTGCCCAAATACTCCCAGTGGTGTGGTGCTCACCACTTCACACGTTTCATTGTGGGCAGCTCTGTTTCCTCTTACTTAGCTGAGATCTACCCCACTAGCATCCTTTCACCTCTGCTTTGGATCTTTGGAGTAGTATAGCGTGTCCTCCTTAATTTGATGCTTCTTTAAATATCTTAACAGCAACAACAACAACCACCACCACAAAATACCATATTTGTCTGGAGCTTTATTCTCAGGCTGACTTTGCCCAATTCCCTCTCTAAGGCCTCAGTGACACTGTTACTGTCTAACTGCTCTTAAGTATAGAGACTAAATCTGGACATAATGCTCCAGATAGGTCTGAGAGGGACAGGGTAGAGAAGTGCTCTCTTAGCTGTTAAAAATTTATGCTATTTATTACTGTAGCTGGTGAATCACTAACAATGTCCCTTTATTGAGTGCCTTCTATATCCCAGGTTCTGCCAAGTTCTACTAGGCACCGGGCTAGGTGCCCTACTCACCTTATTGCCAATTCTCAAAATAACCCAGCAAGTATGGCATTGCCACATCATTTCAGTTAGATTCTGAGGCTCGGAGAGCTCTGTGAATAACCCAACGTCACATAGGTGATAAGTGGCAGAGCTGGGATTTGAACCCAGTTTTTTTCCTGCTTCCAAAGAGCTAAATATTTATACCAGGCAGCGCCCCACCCCCCTTTTTGTTTTTTCAGCAGCTTTGTCGTTGTCATGGCCATGTCAGTTTGTCATCGGCCACTATTAAGCTTGAGATCAGTTTAAACACTTTCGTATTTTTATGAGTAGTTGTCAAAAACACATCCTATTTCAGTGTGATTGTCTTCTTGATCCCAAATGCAACACTTCCCATTTATTGGGAGTTTAGCTGGTCGGGAGGTCCTTATTCTGTCATACCTTTATTCTTTTCCCTTTGGTTGCTTTTTATGTCATTATCTAACCCATTGATAAATTCACTAAGTGAATTAGGATTCTGTCCTTTATTTTCCCTGCTACTCT